TTTTTTTTTTTTTTTTTTTTTTTTTTAAATGCACATGTGTGTTTTGAACTGATATTGTGGAAAAATAGTTTGTTTGTCCCACTGGATTCCTTGATTGAACAATATTGGCATTAAATAAAAGAGCTGAATCATAGGGTGACTTCTTTATTTCTTCTTTACTGGCTCTAGTTTTTATGTGATCATGTGTCAACAGAGCATTCATTGGGTTAGTCATTTCTGGACCAGTGTAGGGTCACTTGGGATTCACAGGGCTAGGATTATACCCTCTCTTCACAGCAATGCCAATTGTGGGCCTTATACAGATGAGAGCACTGAGTGAGAAATAAAGTGCATGGTGGATGAAAGGCTTAACTGAATCGCTTTCAGCCTATTGTTAGTCTAGGGGAGCTTAGAGGGGATAAGAGGGTAGCAGGCCGCTTTGAAATTTACTTGAACAAGTGAATAGGAGCTCCCCATAAAGCAGCGCATGAAAGGAGCCTGGCTGTTTTTTCCTGCCATAACAATAGCCAGTGCAGGCTGTGAGGAGCTTGGGGAAGCTTGGCTGATTAAACTGCTGGGAGCTTCAAGTTTGGGGGGGGGGGATGGAGGGGGCATGTGTGGATTTCAATAGGACGCAAAAGGTTTGCATCTTGAGACGCAACCCTAGAAAAGAAATGGTTCCTGCTACGAACTGAGCCAGTCCGCTGAACCTTTGAAAGCGGTGAGACGCAGCTGGTTTATGGGGTGGGGACGGGCCTGAGTGTGCAAGAATTGGTGTGTGTGTGGGGGGGTGATGGTGGATTGGTGGGAGCAACGTGGGGGTGGAAAGGAGGGAAATATCACTGAACCCAGAGACTTGCCAAAGCTGAGGCTTGCAAAACTTCCTCTCCAGAAATGTTGGTGACTGCCAGTGTTACATTGCAACACGTGCATGTGATGCTTGGGGTTGACTTCCTTCTGTGCCATGGATTATGTGGGAGATGGGTTTGCTAGAGCGTCTGAGGAGCTCTGCCCCACGGCCGCTCCCCTGGTCGTGGCGCTCGTCTTGCTGCGAGCGTGTCCTCCTTTGTAGTAAAGAGCACCAGCTCGCTCTGTAGCACCAGTGGAGATGCAAATCCATCCTCCTGGAGTCACTCCCACTTCATGCTAGTGTGCAGTGAAGAGCAGAAATGATCCCAGTGAGCTCACACCACATATAGCAGGGAAGTGAGGTATTAATTAAGAAAAAACCCCAAAACTTTGTAGTGTGACTGTAGGTAGAGTTGCCAAATGATGCACAAGCTTTTCTTCCCTCTGATGCCAAGGACCAGTTTAGTGTGTGTGGGGTGGGGGGGGGAGGGGGAATTGTCACAAAGCATCATGCAAATTCCTATTTCCATTTCTTGATTGGGGGGGAGGGAAAAGAGGAAAAGGGATTTTTTTTGATTTTTTTTTTTTATTTGCTTATATCTTATTTATGGATTTACTTTGGACACAGGGGAATGCTGCTGAGCGAACTTCAAATATTACCTTATCTTACAAACCAGGCTTTTGATGTTGGCAAGATCAGAGGCTTGTTTCAGAGCTGTTGCCAAATGAAGATGGGAGTGAATGCATACGCGCATGAGTCTGATATTTCAAAGCAGCAGTAAAACTACATTCAGGTTAGGTCAGGCACATCTGAGTCAAAAGGCTAAGATAATTGGCTCAGCTTAAATGGCAGCTGACTGGAAAGAAGACTTCAAACTAGTGTTTCCCCCAGAAAAAGATTGGCTTAGCCCCAGACTGGTTAGCTGAAATGTTTATAATTAAACTCTACTACTTAGTGCCTAAACTCTGTAGCTCTTCAACCCACAGCTTTTAGTAGCCAAGAAAGTGAGTGCAAATGTTTACTGCGGGAGAAAGGGGAGAAGGTTAGCTTGAAACGACCTATTTGAGGAATGCTGCCTTTTTTTAGGGGGGGGGTTTCTTCCCTTCTTTAATAGTAATCCTGCACTATGTATGGAAACGTCTGGCAAAGCCCAAGCCTTTTCTTTTTAAAGGCTCTTTCTAGTTGTTAGTGTGACCTACACGCATTTCAGCTTCAGATTTTTTTTTTTTCCCCCCTAATATCTTTTTACTTATTGTATCCAGGCTGGCTGTAAACTCCAGCTCCAGCTGCCTGCCTCGCCTGTAAGAGGTGATCACCCATTCTTGTCTTCTCCTCAGCCTGGCATTATTCTCCTTCCTCACTTTATGTGGAAGGCCTAGATTTAAAAAGCAGACATCAAACCCACTATAAAATTCTCTTCCCTCTTTAGAAGGACTGTCTCGAGCTACTAAGTGCTCTTCCCATCTCCATGAAACGTCTTTCCTGTGCTTTGTTCCATGTTGTAAAACACTCCTGATGAGACAGGCTTTCAGAAGTGAGCAAGGAGCGGATCCGAGACTCTTCCCATGTAACAGCATGGAGCAGAGATGGGAAACGGGCCTAGTTTTACGCCGACGTCCCCCTTCCCAAACCTTCCCAGATCCCTTGTCGGCTGGGTGCAGACGGAGGGCGCCAGTCGCTGCGAGGAGCAGCTAGCGATGCGTCGGTCTGCTGTTCTTCGGGCTGGCGTCGTCGCTTGTCTGACGGCCGCCCGAGCGGGTCTTGACCAGCCAGTGCAACGTGCCTGAACAAGTCTTGCTTCTCATTGGCTGAAAGCAGGCCCGACTCGATGTGATGTGAAAGGGGTGGAGTCTAAACTAACCCGATGGGGCAAGTCCTTAAGGGCGATGGAAGCTCCGCCCTAAAGTGTGCAAGCCCGTCTTCTTGGAGATGAGACTCAGTATGAGCCAAGTGACCCTGGCTCACCGGGACTAAATTCTCACGGGGAATCCTAGGACCTATAACTTGCTTTCTGTAGCATCACCCTATTGTTGGCTCTGGGGGTGGAGCTGGAGTGCGGCCTCGTGGAGCTCCCCTGCACACTTGCTGGGATCCCTTATGCAGGATAGGACCTCTTGTTTGTTTGTTTTTTTTTATTTTATTTTTGTCCCTTGCCACAGTGCATAGGACTAGGGTCGGCACCTTCGAGTGTGCGTGGGGGGAGGCGATGTCCCGTATCGTGGCACTGTGCCTCTTCAGGTTGGAGCCTGATCCCCCTGGCACCGAGCTTATCTTCTGTGCTGCCTTGCTCCCTCCTGCTCAGACCTCTTCCGGCTGCCGTTCTGTGCAGGGGACGCCTCCCTTTTGCACGGGCGTTGTAGCCGGCTATCTCGATTCCTCTCCCTCGCGTGTGGATTCCTGCACGCTGCCAAAGGTGAACTAGTCAAACGTATGAAAGTGGACACCCCCTGCTGCCTTTTTTTTCTGTCTTTTGAGGAAGAATGCACGAGACATTTTAACTCCTCCTCATTTGAGGTTTTGGTAAACCTCAAAGATGTCTCTCCTGAGATCCCTGGGATGAGCATTTAACTTGGGATTACAGTCTCCCAACTTTCCTCCCCCCCTCAAACCCACATAACTATTTGAGGGAGCTTTAATGCTGGAGGCAATCCAACACATACTTGTTGCCTGTTGCTAAGAGAGGGCAGAGCCTCCATGCCAGCTTGGATATATTGCATTCTTCCTCGCATGTCTACTAACCCTTGTTTCATCACGGACCGTCAATGTTTAGCGCTTCTGGCAATGGATGATAACCCTGGCCACAGGAAGGTACAGTGCAGACAGGTGCAGGGCAGCTTTCCCAATAGAGCACTTTCTGGTGAGGCTTTATTTGTGAGCTGTAGCTCCCCTGCAGATGCTTAACAGGGGCTGAAATCATTCCCTGGAGCCAGATATTCATTAGGAACTGAAACGAGTACCTGCTACTTGCTTCACTTGTGATCTTGCTTAGATCTGGCCACTTGGTCTCCCTTTGCCCTCCCCGCCCCAGTAGACCACACATCAGGCATTTCTCCTCTTGCTGTGGCACTGTATGTTACTTCCAATTTTCCAAGTTTTAAATTTTAAATAAATAATAATTTTTAAAAGTTTTTGCCTCTTCTTCGCTCTTCCACCTTGCTGCAAATTCAGTCGCCTTCAGTGGAAAGTTGGAGCTCGGCCACAGCCTCTGCATGTATCCGGTGATTGTGTTCTTCAAGCTTTGGGTGCCAAACTTGAAGTGCCATGAAGTGGTTTCTTCTCCCAACCCAGAGGATGCAGGGCACTTTTTTAAAATAAAAATTAATGTATTTCAAGTAGTCTCCAGTCCGGCAGCTAAAGGCTGAGGCTTGTACATGGCCTTATGCTTGTGAAAGAGACCCTGGGCATTCTAGAAAATGTTGTCCTTGGTCCCCTTGCCACTGTAGCAATAGGAAATGCAAGTCTACCATAAAGGTGATGAATTTGAAAATGATGTGCGTGTTTGAAGGTGTGAAATGGATTTTGGGGGAGAGATGAACAAATATGGGGGGGAAGAGAGGTATATAGTAACACCCTAGAATTTAATTTCCCCTCTATTATGAATGTTGCTTCTCAGCTGAACTGCAGGGCCTTCTAGCCAAGGACTTCACTGCACTCTACAACCATTAATACTCTAATAATGGTAGAGTGCCCTCTTCAATACAGAGCTGTTGTCCCCATCGGATAAGCGGTGGAGGGATTGGAGCACAGAGAGCAACAGTGTGGACCCATGAACACTGGTGTAATCGGTGTTGCTTTTATACAACTACAGAGATGGCATTGGGAGCTGGGAGAAATAAGAGAGTTTTCTCTTTCTCTCTCTCTCTCTCTCTCTCTCCTCTTGATCACCAAAAATAACCTTGCTGCTTATCTATTTCCTGAACGTCATGGCAAAAAGAGCATCCAAATCCTGCTACCCCAGATCTCCTGGGGCAGCTGCTCTAGGAGGCAGTATTAGTGTCTTACCACTGGGTGGTAGAGGAGCAAGTAATAGCCTGCTTGCACAGAGCCGTAGCCACGTGGTGTATTCTTGGTGTCATACACACTGGTGTATTCTCACTGCCTGTTTTTACCTAAGGTGCCCCTACACAAGACTAGTACGTTACCCCAATGTGGACGTGCACATCCTGCATCCACTCCTGGCATTGGTGGGAAGGTAGTTTACACTGGCATAGACGGCATTGTTTGTCCGGATCCTGAGGCTACTGAGCAAGTCTGTGGGGAAACCTGGGAACAGAAAGGCATGATGCTCAGCTGCTTTTCTACCACTGGACAAAGCTCTTTAATACTGTAGTGGGTAGATCCTTACCTGGCTGGCTAGCTGACAGCCAGTCCCATTGCTAGAAAAAGATCACTGCTCCTGCTGTCTGGAGGCAGAGCTATCCCTAGGGTATGGTGAATCGGGGCAGCTGCCCTGGGCCCTGTGCTTTGGGGGGTCCTGCAGAGCCGGATGCAGTGGCCGTGACCCCT